GAAAACATTGATTATGACTTTGGACTATCTTATGAAATTATTAGAATCATACAAATTAAAGAAATTAATTCAGATTTAGAAGAACTAAGAAATGCCTAGAGACCTGAAAGCTGCAGTATTAAAAGTTATGACAAGTTTTGTAATAATAGGTATTTGTATGGTCAGCACAGTAACCGAACCAGGCAATGTGATATAGTCATTGCGCGAATTCGCCTTGGCTATAGACAGATCTGGCAGGTTAGTGAGGCTGAGCCACTACCAGAATACTCAGATTGTAAACTCTGTGATAAACCTTTAAAGCATTCACTAGAACACTATATTGTTGAATGTGAAACTGTAAAAGACTTTAGACCTCCTGGCCTCTTGTACCACCAACTGTTTATTTATTTCATTGACTTAGGTGTTCTGGACGACATCCTGAAAATTTATCCGTAATTTACTTGTCCATATTAAAGAATGAAGCACAATTTTATTTATATTAATTCTAAGCTGTATCACTTATGAACCCATCCCTGCCATTGTGTGGCAGTGCACAATAAAAGTTGTTTCCACATATTCATACATTAAAACATTGATTGCAACCATGATATACATGTGCTTCAGCCTACAACTCACACTTATTGTCTTGTGTATGACCCTCTGTCCTGCGTGACAGTGAATACCAGCATTATCCTCACTTTATTAAGGCTTAATTGAAATCCTATGATTAGGATAAATTGTAATTAATTTTGTCAATAAAGATGTTAATAATAATAAATTTATAAATATATTGTTAAGTGACCATATATATTTGTATACTTTGTGTGGATGTACTATGTGTCTGTATGTACAGCGGACTATTAAATGTTTCAAGGTGTTGTTGATATATAATATCAATGTTGATATTAATATGTAATAATAAATAATATCAATATGTTGATATATAATATATGTGTAATAATAACAAATTCTGCTTTCAGACAACACTCAGCCCCCTTGTTTAACTCCCTAAACATGCTAAACATAATCTCACTCCACAAATTCTCTTGTGTCAACTACATTTACAAAACCCTGTTCTTAAATGCAAATCCTGCTCTGAAACTCTCCCTGGACAGATGTAATAGGACCCATTATCACCACACCAGAAATAAATATCTCTTTGATATCCCCAGAGTCAAACTTAATCTGTGTAAACACTCTATGCAAATAAAGGGACCCAATCTATGGAACTCACTCCCTATTGAATTCAAAAGCTGTCCAACTTTTGCGTCATTCAAAAACAATACTAAAAAGTACCTAATTTCATCTTCATAGTTGTTTTACATTTTGCTTTAAAATTGCACTCTATCTATTGCTACCCAATCTCCCAATCTTTTTGTACCCATTCTGAACATCTTTTTCATTGTGATCATTGTTGTCTTCTTATATGTGCTATCAATCTGATGTATAGTGTCTATTAATCTTGTTTAAATTACCAATCAAGCTGTCAATGTAATCAATCAGAGCTTTAATATACCAATGTGCTTTAATATACTTACTAATCTCTCTCATCTCCTTTTTTTTTTCTTGCAATGTATTTGTTATCATTTTATTAATTCTGATAGAATTTACCTACTTAAAATTATCTGTTAGATTAAGGACCTGCCCGAAACGCTGCGCGTACTAGTGGCTTTACAAGAGTGTAATTACTGTACTATGCTATGTATTCTCACAAACCCAATGTACCTTCTTGTATATAAATAAATAAATAAATAAATATATGTTTTGGGTGCCTTGTTAACCAGCTAACTCATTGTTGAGGGACTTGTGAGACCCCTGGCCAGCGTGCGAGAGTGTGAGTGCATGTTTGTGTGTCAGTCATGATTCAGGGCAGCCAACCCAGGTGGTTGTTTCATGAATTATTATTATGGTTTGTTATTATTATATTTAATGAACTTCTGCGAATGTTCTAGTGAAGTGAGTACTACAGAATGTAGTATTTGTACCCCGAGTGAATGAGTACCCCGAGAGGGTGGAATTATTCATTCACAGTTGGTAGTGGCCGAGGTGACCAGTGGGGCTGGGTACAGGCCCGCCACACCGGTCTGAGCTCCATGGAAGGTTTCACTTGTACAGTATTGAGTTCTCAGGAGCTTAATAAAAATTACATACAATTCATGTCGGTGTAAGGTACGATTGTGATTTAATTTGGATCTGAGTTATCATGTAATCAGCGTATATCCTTTAAATTGATGTACAATTTCGTGGTTTAAGGGACGTTATAAATTTGTCCATGTGGGGACTCGTTTTATCAAGCTAATTGGAACTCAAACTTTTTCAATGAGTGCTGACTCTTCCAGTCCTGAGGAACGTAGGTTTTTTTTTAGGGAGTCCCGGTAACTTGTAAGTTTGTCTGTGTCGAGTTCCTTGAAGTTGCTCAGCACTGGATACTTTAACGTTCTTGAGTCTATCGAGATTTCGATTTTGATAGTCAATGGAGACTTTAAAGTTGGATAACGTCACATTTAGTACAACTTAACCACATCACTTAGATTCACTTCAGCTGCCGTCTAGTGTACCAATGTTCCTAAACTTTATCAAACTAAGTTCGTGACTAGCTAACTTTACAACATCTTGTAAATCTAGTGCGCCAATGTTGTTGAGTCCGTGTTCCACAAGCTTGACCTTTAAGTAATATCTAGCTTAAGTGACAAGTGCCAATTTAATTAACTTTCATATATTGTAAATAATGTGTAAATTGCTGTTATTGTGAGTGATGAATTCACCCTAGAAAAGTGGTGGATGCTACTGTAGGCTTTTACTATATCCCTGACCGAATAAAGATGTTATTTACTTGAGGCCAGGAGTGCCAACTGTTGAAAGGGGGAAGTGTGCCCCACGAGCATTCCCTGTCCACACAACACAGCCACGATCAAGAAGTAACACACACAACACAGCCATGATCAAGAAGTAACACACACAACACAGCCACGATCAAGAAGTAACACACACAACACAGCCATGATCAAGAAGTAACACACACAACACAGCCATGATCAAGAAGTAACACACACAACACAGCCATGATCAAGAAGTAACACACACAACACAGCCATGATCAAGAAGTAACACACACAACACAGCCATGATCAAGAAGTAACACACACAACACAGCCATGATCAAGAAGTAACACACACAACACAGCCATGATCAAGAAGTGACACACACAACACAGCCACGATCGAGAAGTGACACACACAACACAGCCATGAACAAGTAGTGACACATACAACCCATCCATGATGAAGTAGTGATACATACAACACAGCCATGACCAAGTAGTGACACATACAACACATCCATGATGAAGTAGGGACACATACAACACAGCCATGATCAAGTAGTGACACACACAACACAGCCATGATCAAGAAGTGACACATACAACACATCCATGATGAAATAGTGACACACACAACACAGCCATGACCAAGTAGTGACACACACAACACATCCATGATCAAGTAGTGACACACACAACACATCCATGATCAAGTAGTGACACACACAACACATCCATGATCAAGTAGGGACACACACAACACATCCATGATCAAGTAGGGACACATACAACACATCCATGATCAAGTAGTGACACATACAACACATCCATGATCAAGTAGGGACACATACAACACATCCATGATTAAGTAATGCCACATACAACACAGCCACGAAGTAGTGATACATACAACACAGCCACGAAGTAGTGATACATACAACACAGCCACGAAGTAGTGATACATACAACACAGCCACGAAGTAGTGACACATACAACACAGCCAAGAAGTAGTGACACATACAACACAGCCATGATCAAGTAGTGACACATACAGCACAGCCATGATCAAGTAGTGACACATACAGCACAGCCATGATCAAGTAGTGACACATACAGCACAGCCAAGAAGTAGTGACACATACAACACAGCCATGATCATGTAGTGACACATACAACACAGCCATGATCATGTAGTGACACATACAACACAGCCATACAACACAGCCAAGAAGTATGACACAAACAACACATCCAAGAAGTAGTGACACATACAACACAGCCATGATCAAGTAGTGACACATACAACACAGCCATGATCAAGTAGTGACACATACAACACAGCCATGATCAAGTAGTGACACATACAACACAGCCAAGAAGTAGTGACACATACAACACAGCCAAGAAGTAGTGACACATACAACACAGCCAAGAAGTGACACATACAGCACACAAGAAGTAGTGACACATACAACACAGCCATGATCAAGTAGTAAGTAGTGACACATACAACACATCCATGATCAAGTAGTGACACATACAACACAGCCATGATCAAGTAGTGACACATACAACACAGCCATGATCAAGTAGTGACACATACAACACATCCATGATGAAGTAGTGACACATACAACACAGCCAAGAAGTAGTGACACATGCAACACAGCCATGATGAAGTAGTGACACATACAACACAGCCATGATCAAGTAGTGACACATACAACACAGCCAAGAAGTAGTGACACATACAACACAGCCATGATCAAGTAGTGACACATACAACACAGCCAAGAAGTAGTGACACATACAGCACAGCCATGATCAAGTAGTGACACATACAACACATCCATGATGAAGTAGTGACACATACAACACAGCCAAGAAGTAGTGACACATACAACACAGCCATGATCATGTAGTGACACATACAACACCGCCACGAAGTAGTGACACATACAACACAGCCATGATCAAGTAGTGACACATACAACACATCCATGATGAAGTAGTGACACATACAGCACAGCCAAGAAGTAGTGACACATACAACACAGCCATGATCAAGTAGTGACACATACAACACAGCCATGATCAAGTAGTGACACATACAACACCGCCACGAAGTAGCAACACATCAGACAGCGTCCACACCACTGACACAACACACTCTGTACTATAAGTAATGGTGTACATACCTGGCGCTGAGCACAGGAACCAGAGGACTGTTCTTGCGGCCGATCATGGCAAACATCAGTGGCAGAAAAAGCTCTTTTGATAAATAAAAATCACAACGACCTGTTTGATGGAGAGACCTCGAGACAATAGTTGCCTTAAATGTTTTACAGAAAATTGCTTCTACTTGATCAATTATATTTTGCAATTTTTTAATAGATAAATTAAACGTTCTGATGTCTACTACAAAAATATTTGTAATGTTGAAATCAAATACGAAAGAGACCTATGTTTGAGAAGTCCTGAGCTACGAAGACCTTCTCAGTGAGCTCCTCAAGAATGAGCACAGAGCGTCCTGGTCTCAACAGCTTGTCCACACTCTCCGGGAACTCTGTGCTCCGCTGGTAGAGCATGCGACCCTTCTCCTCTAGGTCCCAGGCCTTTTTATATACACCAGATGTTGCACTCTGTCGATATATGCAAGTTGATAACTAAACCAAAATCTCTGCTCCTAAAGATGTTACTCGATATCTATTATCATATTCATCCACAAGCAGCATACATGACAGTCAGGGAATATTAAATATAAATGTTAGAATGTAGAAATTTGTGTAACTAGGTTAAATCAGGTGGTATCTGTAATTTTTATATATTATTTAAAACAAAGTGTCACCTGTTAAAGCTCTGATGTCATATTGATGTGACACAAGCAACCTTAAGAACTACATTGAGTCAAATAGTGTCACTTAAGTCTCTATAAATAAGAGTGATAAAATTCAAATGTTCCTCTCCTATAGGATAAAGTGGAGAGAGATGCTGTTCTCTGTGACAGTTTTGCCTCATGTTGAGTGCTTCAGACAAGACAAATATTAGAAAACTACGACTACCATTATGAAAATTAATTACATTATTGAGGATAATAAAGTAATTACATTCAGCGGTAATGGCTTCAAACCCAGAATGTATGAATATGTCAAAAAAACATTTGGTATGTATGATATTCCTGTTATCTAAGATCACATGCTCTAGTTAGTGAATTTGACATCTTATGAATTTGATGATCTCTCTGAATTTGTTATAGTTCTTTTTACACTGCCAGCACAAAAATGTATAATGTCTGGTCAGATCCTGGATGACCCTGTAGTGGTACAGCTTTCCTGTGGCATACGTTAAAGTTATGCTTTAACTTTAGGCTTGGTCGACGTCATACCTATGTACTTAGATTGAAGGCTGCATCCTTCGTGGGGGCAAGTGTATATATTTATACCACGTTTGCCTGCTGTAAAGGGTTCTCCGTTGGCTTCAGGCTGTTTTTAATAAGGAGGTCGGTAGTCTTCTTTGTTTTAAAGAATATGATCAGGTCTATGTTTTGGTTAGGAGTTATGCTTTTTTCTCCTTTATGGATTATTTCTTTCATTATTCTTTCAATTTTTTATGTTCATTGTGCATGGTTGATTTGTAATATAATTTGATTGGAGGTGTTGTGGCTTCTGTTCTTGGTTCAGGATTGTACCATCGGTCTAGGTGTCGTCTTATAGTAGTGTTTATTTCTTTGTTGCTAATACCATTGTTCACTAATACTTGAGGTATTCTTTCAAACTGTTTACTGCTCTATTCAGAGCAGTGGGTAAAGGCTCAACGAATATAAGCGTTGAGAACACTATCTTTGGGGGCACTCACTCCTACCGTTTAGTCATAATCCTATGTTTGTAGACTTTGTATATACGCTGATGCGTAGAGAGGCTCCTGTTTTTGTAATTAGTACAACCAGGAATGGCAGACTGTTATTTTCACTTTTTTCATGGGTAAATCGGAGTACTAACTCTCGATATGGCTTTTTAGATCAATTAGGTTTTTTACTATGACGAATATGTCATCTACATAACGGCAGTATACCATTGGTTTTTGCCTACTACAGAAGACTCTACCTTCGATGATTCCCCATGTAAAAACTAGCGAATAACACTCCTAGGGGGGGGAGCCCATTTCTAATCCGTCTATTAGTAGATACATGTCCCCATGCGGACTGATGAAAGGGGCTTCCTTTGTTCATGCCTCGAGAAGGCTCTTCAAGTGTGGCTCAGGTATGTCTAATTTGTGGGTGCTCTCGTCTCTGTATACTCTGTCCACTGTTATTTCTATGGTGGTGTCGACCGGAACGTTGGTAAATATGGATTTGACGTTCAGTGAACCAATAATTCCTTCGGGCTTTGTAATTTTGCGTAAGGAAATCTGCTGATGATTGAAGACTATAGTTGCTTGGAGTGTAGTGTAGGATATGCCTATGACAATGTAGAGACACATAAACCAGGTAACATATTACACCCAATAATAAGCCAAATACCATCTCCAACCTATCACCTGGCAAAAAAACTTAACGAACTCCTAACTCCATACACTCCAAGCAACTATAGTCTACAATCATCAGCAGATTTCCTATAAAAAATAAAAATTACACAGCCCGGGGGAATTATTGCTTCACTGGACGTCGAACTCCTATTTACCAACGTAATACCAAGAACTCTTCCATTGTGAAGGACTCGAACCTTAGAAAGCCAGGTGCATCATACACACTGGCATAACCAGTACTCTAACAGCTACACCATGACAGAACGTTAAAAGGGTTGAAAGTCGGGAGGTATTTCCCCAACATAACTTGTGCGTTTATGCAAGTGTGTTGTATATTTCAGGCTCCCATTTTCTCCATTAAATGTGTCTGATTTGATGAAAATGAATGCTTCATCTCTTGCCATTGATTAGTGTCGTTGGGGATTGATATGTTGGGGAAATACCTCCAACAAATAAAGGTATTTGTTTATTGATATGAGGTGGGTGTTCCCATGCACACTCCCCAGACAATTGGGTCATGACATGGTTAAAATGAATGCAACCTTAAGTTCTACTGAACACATGAGAGTTTACTGAGGCTTCCACTGAAGCCGGACCAGGGTTTTCACACAATCTTCCCCATGCACTCTGCCTGTCATCATGGAATGTTCAATCTGTGATGTTCCATTTTTCAATACACAGAGAGTAATCACACTAATGTGATGTATCAATGTGAAAATCCGTAGAAGCCGTGATGAAAACTTGAATCTATGCAGTGGGTAGTCCCTCGCACACGCCCAAGACAATCAGGCCACGACTTTGTAGAATCCTTCGGAAACCCTTGTGTGTTCAGCAGAACTCCAGGTTGCAATCTTTTTGACCATGTCGTGTCCTGATTGTGTGGGATGTGTGCATGGGACTACCCACTACATAAATTCGAATCCTCATCATGGCTCCTACGGATTTTCTCAAGCATATTGGTGATAAATTAATCATTAAATTAAATAAACCAATATTCCACAAACTCTCGGCTGAGTAGATGGACAGACACCATTCTCTCGCCAACCCTGGTACCTGTTGTTTTAGCTCCACGCCACGTCAGAGCCCTTCAGTGGGTGTTTCCCCAGAATTACGAACTATAATTTGTTTTTGGTCATACAATCCATAAGTGTTTTTCAAGGGACATATCATTACTAAGTGCTACAAGAAGAATTAGGCGCAAGTCGGGACATCACATTTACCCAGCTTCAGTAACAAAATACTGTGCTCAGCTCTGCAGATGGAGGATTGAGTGCACCACCAGAAGGTCGACTCGAGCACCTTGTCTCCACATAACAAGGATAGTTGTGACTGTTTCATATGTTATTAATGTGATGTCAAATTAGCATTATTATAATAATAATAAAACTAATTATTATTATTATGATTACTATTATATGTCACTAACAGTTTCATTTAGAGCATCGGTTATATTGTGGGGCCTTAACCCCAAACTAAGTAAGTGAAGAATCAATAGCTGAATTATTTACTTGCCATATACTTACATGGCAAGTTCTGATATAAATTTAACAAATATAAATATTATGATATAAATTAAATTTTCTATTGAATATATGTAAAATAACAACATACCAAGAGATTGATTTCAAATTCATAGGCTAGGTTACTCATATTCCAGTTTGGTTGTTTGGTATTGCATGTAAGGTCATCATATGACTGGTGCCTCACTGCCCAAAACCTAAATATAAATGAATAAATGAATGTTAATATGAGGCTTCTCAGTAGGTGTGCGAGAGCTGCGGTAGCATACCAGCATTCTATAACCTCTCTACACAGCAGTAGACTACGTGCAGAGCCTACACACTCTTCCCATCTATGTGCAAGCCCCGCTCCTGTGCTAGATAATTCCACGACGGGCTCACCATAGCCCGTGCTACTTCAAACATTTTATTCCAAGTAACTGAATCTTAAACATCAACAACAACATGTGCATTGGGGTTTCATTCTTTATTTTCTAAGTAGCAATAGACATCCTAGTATATTCATAGTAGTGAGGTGTATATATTTAAATTATATGAAGCTTCAGAGTTGTAAGATTAATTAGTACCCAGTTAGAAGTGTCGGGAAAAACACCGACCTACTCTAATAATCCTAGTTACAATATGCAGATATTGCACTGCTGTTCTTGTACTAACCTATTAACCAATATTAATACAAATTCATTTAATAACTCGTTCAAAAAACGAGATTATAGTGGACTATTGCATTAAACATGGGATATATTATTGCCACGTCATTAAAATATCTACATTCAATATAAATCAATAACTTAAAACTCCCAGTCCAGAGTTAAAATGACTAAAAAAAACTGTTACCTGTGACTGGATCAAATAAAACAATCAATAAAATAAACGCCTCCCTACCTTTGGCCATAAATAAACAGAAACTGAACCAGTTCTGGTGACGTCACCAGCCGGGAAGGAGGAGGGAGGCGGCCAGTGTTGAAACAATCTGCTCTCGTGAGATGGCCCAAAGAAGCACAACGTTTGCACTCGTAACCAGAGTCATCCTCTACGTTCTTCAGCTGTCGCAACCTCTAAATAACGAAAGTACCTCTTATCCGGTTTGTCCTAAACAGTCTAAATTTTATTACTAGGCCTTTTAATATTATTAACGACATTACGGTTAGGAGGCGGGCGAACCCCCAAACCAGGGTGAGCCCCTCACAGTCCAGTAAAATCCTAATAACCATAATTTGGAACGTGCCATATCTGTATAGTTGCAGTAGATACACTGTATTCTTCTGGCAGATCTAATGTGGTCACCTGGGGACCAATCATCTTCAACGGGTTGTTTACCGAGGGAACAGATCCATAGGCCACGAGGTCCTTATCTGGCAGATTTTCCACAAGCCCGCAGTTTTACCCGTACTGAAGCTTTCAAATCAGATAAGGCATTGGTGTACAAACTAACTCCAGTAGATTAATAAATTAACACTTAGTATAATTTTCGCATCAATCAATAAATTTTCGATTGATAGGCTACTATAATTAATTACCCCCTCCCCAAGTTGTGATGGGATATGACTTGTGGGAGAATTTAAATCCACACAATCCGCTCAATTAAACATGCAGTCCACTAAGCTATTGTAAGAAAAAAAGAGTCAATTATACCTCATAAATAAAAATTCTTTAGATAAATAAATTAATTAATAATTAAAATAAATTAAATAATATCTCACGAGTCAGAATTCCCCACAAGAAGTTTACTGGAGTTTTTTTTAATTCATATTCTGCATAAAGAATTGGATCAGGAAAGAGTGTTATGAAGTAAAAAACATATATCTGGTCCTTGGAACCCCCCATAAAGTGGACCAGATCAGACTGGTCCATCAAACTAAACAAAGAAGACTATAATTAGGCTGGTCTTTCTAACTGCATGTATGGCTTTTAATTATGCAAGCTCTATAAATGTTCAAATAGGGCCCATGGCCCATACTTCCTGTAATTAAAATTTCAATATTTAAAATTTCTAATCTGTTGAGAACAAAAATGATATACCACTAGATCCCTACATTTCAACTTAGCCTAACCTAATGTTATTTATCTATCTATATAAATAAAAATGTAAATGTTCGTTTGTTGAAAATCACTAATCTCCGAAAGTTCTTCACCGATTGCTTTGAAATTTTCACACAATGATGCATTCGCATCCAAGTGGGATTATATATACATATTATATAGATGTCAAGTCTGTGACAGGAAAAAAATGCTTCTTTTGAAAAACTGTATTTTCCGTGTGTTTTTCATGGGAGGGAAATCTTCGAAACCACTTTACCGATTTCTTTGAAATTTTGACACAACGTTTCATTCGAATACACGCGTGTTTTTATATACCAACTGTATAGATGCCACACCTGTGATAGGTAAAAACATGTTTTTTTTTTAAACAACACCATTTGTTGCACATAATAGCAACTCACGCTAGACTAAATATGTTACGATTCCATTTCAATGTGTCCAACTGCATTGATAAATTGAATTTTCATAGATTTTGATTTATTTGCCTTTTGATTTAATTATTTTATGTGACATTGTGTTGAAATTGAGCTGTGTTGTTTACCATACTGTTCATTTCATAAGTATAAGTATAGATGCCACATCTCTGATAGGTAAAATAATTCCTTTTTAAGAAACAGCGCCATCTGTTGCACACAAGAGCGACACACACTATACAAAATTTGTTATGATTCCCTTTTGAATGTTTCTGATTTCATTGACAAATTGAATTTTCATAGATTTCGATTGATTTTCATTTTGATTAAATTTTTTTGTGTGATATTGCATTGGAATTGAGCTGTGTTGTTTACTATACCGTTCATTTCCTAAGTATAATTTATTTATTTTTTTTTATTTTTTTTTTAACTGTTTTTCTTATATTTCAGTGAAGGGAACACCAGATCATTTGATGTTTCCTATTTTCTAATAGAAATATCAGATAATTTGGGAATGCATTTTGCAAGGGAGTGGGTAATGGTTGGATGGACGAGGGGACAGAGGATTGGAGAATAGTGGGGGAGGACAAGGGACAAGAGAGTAGGTATGGTGGGGAGGATGAGGGGATGGGGGAGGAGAAAATGGTAGGGAGGACAAGGGGACGGTGGGGTGGGTGGAATAATTAGGAGGACGAGAGGATGGTAGAGTGGGGAATAGTGGGGATGACAAGGAGACGGGGGAGTGGGGAATGGTTGGGAGAACGAGGGGACAGGGGAGTGAGGAATGGATGGGACGAGGGGACAATGGAGGGGGGGAATGGTGGGGAGGACTGGGAGGCAGGAGAATGTTGCTGTGGCTGGGTACAGCTAGTCATAAAAAAAAAAAAATTCTAGGGAAATTGAGTGTCTACAGATAATATTTGAAAGCACTGCTACTCTATTAACGCTTACTATTATCTACTTCTATTGTAATAATTTATAAAAATTTGAGTTCACTTTAAAATTTAAGCAGGCACTCATCCTTCATCCTCAACACAGCTTAATGGAAAACTGAAAGCTTACCCACATAACTTACTCGAAGAGACTGAACATAAGCTGATTCTGCTTCCCAGATCAACGAGACAGAGGGGTCGTCGATCGCCGCCTGGAGGCTTTGGTAGGGCTGAGGAATGTGTCTCACCGCCAGGAGAGACATGAGGTTCCCGGCGTAGCTCCGTGACAACACCAGTGTCACCATCATCCAGCCGGCAAGTAGCATTCGCTGCCACCATTGGCCTTTCCCAACCAAGATGTCTGTTGGGATGTGAACGTTTGAGAAACTCTCCCATTTGTTATAAATCTGTAGTTTATCTGTAGAAAGTTCATGTGCATCTTACGGCCTTTCTTTCCCATGATGGTTTTTCTATGTGTAAGCATCTATGTGGTTTTAGTACTTACCTATGTGTACGTACCTGAAGGTCCTTTCATTTAGTCATTTATTATTTCTATGTTGATACATTGTTGAACGAGCAAGTAGTGTTGGCTGCAGCATAGGTTGTACTAAGGCTAGGGTTTTCAGTTGTGTTGATTATCTAGTTATATTGACACCTGCCAAACGTCCCTCATACAAATTTATAGAAATATGTGAAAGATATACAGAGTCCTGGCAAATATGCTCCAGTTGCTTTTAAGTTATTGTATTCGTTTTACCCAGAACTTAAACTAACGTTACTTAACAGATAATCCAATAAAGTATTCCGGAAGCATCTTGGGCACTTCATCGTGCTCTCTTGTCAACTTTATTGATAATTTCAAGGAGATGAAAGTCACAAAAACAAATAACATTATGAGTAAAGCTGATCATCTAGATACCTGCTCGGAGGTAACGTTATTTATTAGTCAGTGTCTCGGCTTGAGTCGATATCATGTGAGCTGTAGTATCTTCTAAATATTGATCTCGGTGAGATAATTTGCAAATGAAGTAAATTTTTAAGACGTATTTTAGGCATTTATTAGCGCGCAAATTTCAATCTCCTTCCTGGTCTGATGTAATACCTACACTTAAAGAAATTAATCACAAACATTTGTTCTTTGCCTGAAGGAAATTGACCATCCAACACCATAAACTCTGAATTAAACAACAAAAAGTGCACAATCGGTTCAACTGCTTTCAGTGTGGATCATTTGCACTTATTTAGATCAGTGGTCATGATCTTGTTTCCTTGAACATGAAGACCATACGCTAATTTCTTACCATCCCGGCTTTCTTCCCTTCTCTTAAATAGGGAGGGGGGGGCGGGAATCTGGCTCCAGTATAATTCTGATAAAATATATGATTTTAAGAATGCAAAATAATGATTAATTCTAAGATAGCTCGAAGGACCAGAATGAATAATGAATGAGAAAATCAGTGGCTTATAGATTTATGATTATATGTGAATAAATTCTATTAAGCAATGACTGTAAATTAGATAATTCTAGAGCCAGCCTCCCATGACACATTTTGGGGGGGGTATTCTAGGAGATTAATTAATGTGTAACATATATTATGCAATAATAATAATAAGTATAATATGCACACACATAGATAATGAGTAAAATATGTAATGCAAGAAATACTACTGCAATGTAAAAATAATAATGCATAAAATGCATAAAATATATATATATATATATATATATATATATATATATATATATATATATATATATATATATATATATATATATATATATATATATATATATATATATATATATATATATATATATATATATATATATATATATATATATATATATATATATATATATATATATATATATATATATATATATATATATATATATATATATATATATATATACTGCCCGTCATCAAGCAGCAGCCAAACTCACCAGTCTGCTGACAAAGGTCAACAATGTTCCTAGAACCATTGGAGCATGGCACAATCTCCTTCTATTTGGGAATGCATGCCTAGCATTACCGCCCAGGAGAGACAAGTCATTAGCAACCTCTGTAATCAGAGCTCTTAATGAATTCCCCAGAGCAGACAACCTGGTCCGCCTCCCCCCTCGTGCCAAGAACACCAGCCGCAGGACGACCAACAATAACTCACCTGAGAACCACAAAATGAGAGCACAGATCACCAGGAAAATAGAAGAGGGCAATACCACAGGTGCCATCAGAATCATGACCAGCGATGACACTATTGCCCCCAGGAACGTCACGACAGCAGAGGCTCTTCAAGACAAACACCCACCCAGAGCCCCCGACAGCAGCAGGGATCCCCAGGAAAACAATGCTGGCATAGAACCCTTGACTGTTCGAGAATCTGAGGTGTACAAAGCAGCCAACTCTTTCCCAACAGGTTCAGCAGGGGGCTTTACAGGCCTAAGACCCCAGCACATCAAACAAATGCTGAACCCGGTGCTTGGAGATGCTGCAAAGGACCTTCTAGTGGAACTTACCAGATTCTCCAACATGTGTTTGGCTGGCGGCATCCCTGAGGACATCAGGCCTGTCTTTTATGGAGCAGCACTCTGTGCTCTAAAGAAGAAGGATAGGGGTATCAGGCCCATTGCCGTTGGCAACACCCTCCGACGCCTTGTAGCTAAGGCTGCAGTGAGATCTATCAGCCAGGAAGCAGCCACCTTGCTGAAACCGCATCAGCTCGGGTTTGGGATTCCCCTAGGTTGTGAAGCTGCAGCACATGCAGCGCGGGCTTACATTGTTGATCTCCCGGACCAGAAGGCACTAGTAAAGCTTGACTTCCAAAATGCCTTCAATCAAGTCAGACGAGACGCTGTCCTCAGGGCTGTACACAACCATTTCCGTCCCCTTTACCCATTCATCCGATCGTGCTACAGTGGGGACTCTAAGCTTCTTTTTGGGGAGCATGAAATAAACTCCTGTGAAGGTGTCCAACAAGGTGACCCCTTAGCCCCCCTCCTTTTCTGCCTAGCTATCAAAGAGGTCACTGATAGTCTGACAAGCGAGCTAAACATCTGGTACCTGGATGATGGCACTCTAGCTGGAACTCCGGAAACCATTTTGGGGGATATAAGGAAAATCCAGGAGCAGGGAGCAGCCTTAGGCCTCATTCTCAATGCATCCAAATGTGAAATAATCTCCCGCAACCCAGACATCACTGGGCAAATACAAAATGCTCTTCCAGACATTCTCGTTGTCGAGCCACCGGACTGCACTCTCCTGGGTGCCCCCATTGGCCCACGAGCAATCGAGGAGGTCCTGGCTGCAAAAATCACTGACCTAAAGAGAATGCAGGACAGGATAGACAAGATTGATGCCCATGATGCTCTCTTTCTCCTTACAAGATGCCTGTCTCTCCCTAAGTTGACCTACTTTCTGAGATGTTCTCCATCCTACAGCAGCCCTAAGTTAAATGTGTATGACACCCTTCTGAGGTCCATGCTGGTGAAAGTCCTGAACCTGCCATTGGACGACTCTCAGTGGGAGCAAGCAACCCTTCCTGTAAGACTCGGCGGCCTTGGTGTCCGCACAGCCTCCCAAATGGCTCTACCAGCCTTCCTTTCCTCCTCTCATGCATCGCACGACCTCGTCAGAGATATTTTACCTGCAACCCTGAGAGATTCAGCAGGAATACACGATCCTGCTTTCACTGAATGTTCAAATCAGTGGAATGTTCTTGCAGCCCCAGCAACCATTATAGAGCCAACAAAACAACACAAACAGTCCGGCTGGGACCACCCTCTAGTGGAAAAAGTAGCTGATGCCATGCTAAGCGTCGCAACATCAGACAAGGAGAAAGCCCGCCTCAGAGCAGTGCGTGCCCCCCATGCAGGAGACTTCCTCCTGGCAGTACCCATGTCTGCAATGGGCACGCGCCTAGATCCAGAATCCCTTCGTGTAGCAGTGGCCCTCCGCCTTGGTGCCCCAATTCACACTGAATACAAGTGTATTTGCAACAGGGTGGAAGCAGACCAATACGGACTGCATGGGTTGCATTGCGGAAGCACAAAGGGCTGGCATGCAAGACACAACGAGGTCAATGACATCATCAAGAGAAGCCTCGTCTCAGCTGGGTGCCCAGCGGAGAGAGAACCTCGCATCCTAGGGGTCCAAAACCCGGATTTCCCAGCACTTCGCCCTGATGGCATCACCATATACTCATGGAAGGAGGGTAGACAGTTGGTGTGGGACTACACATGTGTATCCTCCCTGGCTGACACCTATGTACACTTCGGAGCTGATCAAGCAGGTGGGGCGGCCAACCACAGGGAAACAGCAAAATCACTCAAGTACAGGCGACTGGAAGGTCAATACCTCTTTGTTCCCATAGCGTCTGAGACGCATGGCTCCTGGGGCAAGAGTGCCTTGGGATTTCTCAAGGAATTGGGGTCCAAGCTCATTGACGTCACCAGAGACCCAAGGGCTTCCAGTTTTTTATTTCAGCGTCTCAGTGTGGCGATCCAGAGGGGAAATGCTTGCTGCGTCCTCGGTTCCTGTCCAGAAGCGGAGGAGCTTCAAGAGATCCATAACCTTTAGGCATTTGTCTTGTATGTTTTGTAACCTTTAAATACACAATAAAGGAAAAAAAAAAAGGGAAGGGGGTGGTAGGAGAAAAGCACACAGAAACTGTATTGGAGGGGACCCACATTCCCTCCAATGCGTTATGTGTGGTTTCCTCCGAGGCTATGGGTCCCCCTTCTTCCAGCCAGAGGTGGTACTCCCTTCCCTATTATTTAAAAAAAAAAAAAAAAAAAAAAAATATATATATATATATATATATATATATATATATATATATATATATATATATATATATATATATATATATATGTTTCATTGAATATGACCGCATATTCTGTATTTATTATTTTCTGGTTTAGGGCTTCTATCCCTCTAACTATTTTCTTAGCATCAGGGCTTAATTGAAATAGGAGTTCTCCAAAACTCATTTTCGTACTTTTAAGGTGAAGAAAAGAAGTGATTTACTGTAGAGTGTATTACACTTATTTGTATAATTTGCACGACGTTTCGAACCTCCATGGTTCATTCTCAAGTGAACAGATCTTACAATACTAGTTGATTTTATACCCGCATTAGGTCAGGTGATAATACAATGAAGGTGAAAACATGGGGGGATACATAAGGAATAAACATAGGGGCTGCAGAAGGCTTATTGGCCCATACGAGGCATCTCCTATCTAAACACAAAGATTAATCCAGTGTAATTGGCCTGTTATGTTGGACATTGTCTTCTGTGTTGGCATTGATATGTTCTTGTCTTGTCCTTACTCTCATGGTGGGTAGAGTAAATA